GGAGGCCGCAACTTGCCTGAACATGCCCAGAGGTTGCTGATGGACAACAGACTTCTCTTGGCTCTCACAACACTCCGCTCATGGCGCGAAGCCTGTGTTAACCCGAAACCCCTGTACAGTCCTACAGTTGACACCATGTCATGGCTGATGCCAGGCCGGTGGTGAAGAGAAGGCTGCGCAATTCGAGGAGCTCTGCGGGAAGGGGGCGGGCGAACTTCACGGGGACCCTGGGGCTGCGGTTCTGAAAACTCACTGAAACCCCTCGCTCCTGCACGACATGAATAGCAACCCTCAAGAAAGGCAACAAAGGCGCAATGAAATAGCAGTATTCGACCCCCCGCTTGCACTCCTCATATCTTTACAACATCAACCTAGGCTCACAACTCTCAAACCCGGCCCTAAATCCTGCAATTTCAGAACCCTTCCCTTGTTGGCTAACGGACACATGCGTGGGAAGCAACACGCTTGAAGCCTTGACTCCACATGGGGCGGCACCTTTGTCACGTCTTTCTGCAAAGTCGCGAGTTTCTGCAAAAGCGCGTTGGAAAGCTGCGCGCGCCTCTGGTCGATGTAGCGCACGTTCCCAAGTCCGCAGAAGGAGCGTGCTTGAACGGTTAAGGGCTCCACTCTGGGCACTCGCTCCAGGAGTTCGCCCCCCCCCCCTCCCCCCAACCCGCGCCCGCCCACCTTACTTGCAAGGAGCTGCGTGAGCAGAGAAGCGAGGCTGAGGGGAGTGTGGTCCCACCAAGTGCTGCGTCAGTCGCGCTTTCAGCCCATCCTCTTTGTGTTTTCGCAGTGTGTCTTCTGGAAGCTTGTAGCAGGCGAGGGTGTCGGACGGCGAGTCCGAGCCAGTGGAGTTTGTAGAGATTGCGTGGGAAGCGGAGGCCGCAGTTTTTTCGTACCTGGATCTGGCCATCTGGCGTCGGTTCTTTACGCTGATGCCTCTGCAGGATTGGTCTGAGCCCCGCTTTTACTGGCGCCCTCACCGGCCTCAGCCTGCGGTGCCAGCCTCGGCCACTGAAAAGAAGGGTCGTTTAGGGTTTAGGGTTTAGGGTTTAGGGTTTAGGGGTTGGCGTTGGAGTGCTGGCTTTTGTCTAGGCCAGCGACTCCACGATGGTGGAGCAATCTGGCGGCGAAGATGCCGCCCTGATGCAGTTGAGCCCTGTTTGTGCAGATGTCCCTTTTGGGTGACTCTACATGACAAAGACATCATGTAGATGTTGTGATGAAATCGCAGGTGATCGAAGTCACCCTCGCCTTGCGATTCTTCAATGTAGAGACAGATGTCAAGGTCGCCTCCTTCAATGGACACTTAGATCCTCGCATTGCTCTCAGGTGGTGAGCCAAGCCTCAGAGCAGAGCACCGACTCGGCGGCCGCAACTTGCCTGAACATGCCCAAAAGGTTGCCCCAGAAGGAGGGATGGACAACCGATTTCTCCCGCCTCTGACAACGCTCCGCTCATGGCTGCGAAGCCTGCGTTAACCCGAAACCCCCCCATACAGTCCTACAGTTGACACCGTGTCATAGCTGATGCGAGGCCGGTGGTGAAGAGAAGGCTGCGCAATTCGAGGAGCTCTGCGGGAAGGGGGGAACTTCATGGGGACCCTGGGGCTTCGGTTCTGACAACTCACTGAAAACCCTCGCTCCTGCACGACATAGCGCAGCCCCCAAGAAAGGCAACAAAGGCGCAGTGAAATAGTTGTGTTCGGCCCCCCCCCCCCCCCTCTCCCCTTGTACTCCTCATATCTTCACAACATCAAGCCTAGGCTCGCAACTCTCAAGCCCGGCCCTAAATCCGACAACGACACGACCCTCATGCCTCCTTTTTGGCTCCATGCCGGCCTGAAGGACGCTCTGGCACGCTACGGCGAGCGCTATAGCAAGACTCCGACTGCTGCGGCTTGTCTGCAGGGCTTTTGAAAGGTTGTTTAGTTTTTAGGGATCTTTCTTCAGGGGTTCTGTTACAAAGAAAGCTCTGTTTCATCTTCCAATCTGCGCAACGTTGAGAACATCATGTGGGGTTGTGGGGGCAATCGGCTTCCAGCAGGATGGATGCTTCTGACTAGGGCCTAAGCCAAAAAAACCCTCAAAACCCTAACCTCTTTTCAGACAGTATTTAAGCCTTAGAGTATTCGTGGGCAATGGCCGGGAAATGGTTGACGGGAAATAATAACGAGGAGTGCCCCTCCCCCCCTCCCCCCGCCTCCCCCCCTCCCCGCCTCCCCCCCTCCCCCCTCCTCCCCCTCCCCCACCTCCCCCCCTCCCCCCCCTCCCCCTCCCCCCCCTCCCCCCCTCCCCTCCCCCCCCTTCCCCCCCCTCCCCCTCCCCCTCCCACCCCCCAAATGGTCACGTAAACTGGTGGAGGGGGCCGGCTGCAGGGGAAACGCGCCGTAACAAAGTGGCGCTTTTTTTGTTTTGAAGGAGAAACGCTCCGTAACGAAGTGGCGCTTTTATTTTTGAAGGGGAAACGCTCCGAAACAAAGTGGCGCTTTTGTTTTGAAGGGGAAATGCTCCGTAACAAAGTGGCGCTTTTTTTTTGAAGGATGTGGTGGGATTCTTTGGGCGGGTGGGTGCTGGTCGAGAGAATGGCTGGACTAGACTCTTCACGCTCAGAACTTCTGAGCCCTAAGCCCTAAGCCCTAAGCCCTAAGCCCTAAACCCTAAACCCTAAACCCTAAACCCTAAACCCTAAACCCTAAACCCTAAACCCTCAACCCTAAACAAAGCCTAAACCCTAAACCCTAGACCCTAGACCCTAAAACCCTAAACCCTAAACCGCCTGGTGCAGTCTGCGTTGCCCATCTCTTGCCCAGACGCAGCTGGCAGCCTTTGCTAGCAACGTCGGCATCCACCTGCCTTATGCTCTGGCACGGGAGCTGCTTCTTGGCAATGCTATGCAACGCTTTACGGTTGCACTTTGGACCTGGGCTTTTCACTTGCCAGGTATCGAAGCAAGGGTTTAGGGTTTAGGGTTTATTCAATGGCTGCCGCGAGTGCCGCCGACCGCCAGGTTGCGTTGCTGTGCTGCTGCAGGCTGCAAGGGGGGGCGTCCATTGGGGCGGTTTTGGGCATGTGTTGCTGTGCGAGTGCGGGGTGGGAAGGGCGGGAAGGGGCTGCAAAGCATTTCTACCAGGGGTGGGAGGAAGGGGGGGGGGTTTGGGCATGCGTTGGAGCCCTGTAAAACATTTCTACCAGCCCGCAGGGCGGGAAGTGTGTTGCTGTGCATGCATTGGAGCCTGTAAAACATTTCTACTAAGGGGTGGGGGCCTGTGGAGGGCGGGAAACGTGTTGCTGTGCGGGTGTAGGGGCGGGAAGGGTGGGGGGGGGGGGGAAAAGGGCGGCGGGGGGTTTGGGGTGTGTTGCTGTGCGGGGTGCGGGGGGGGGGGCGGGGGTGAAAAGGGTGGACAGGAGAGGTTTAAGTAAATTGAGTATTTGGCCTCAGACTTAAATTCGTTTTGCCAAATAGCTTGGAAATTCAGAATAATATCACATGCAATTTCTATTTATTTTGTCTTGAGGGTTAAGGGTTTAGGGTTTAGGGCTTTGATCATGTGTGCTCCCAAGCGGAACCACGCCTAATTCAGCCGGTCGTGTGATTGGAGTTGTGGCTGTTCTCGAAAATCCAGCTGCTGGGTCCAGGTTCATGCTGCGCGCGGGTGACCGCGCCGCCTCGTAGAATTCCTGGAGAAATCCGTGCGTTTGGTCCGAGTCGATCCGGTAGCAGCTGGAAGGTACAGTAACCGACCACATGTCCGAACATAGCCTCTCCAAGGTGTGTGTTTATCCATTTGCCAGGGGTGCTTCACTGCTTTCCGATGTCCTGCCTCGATTGAGATGGTGAGTAGCACCTTGACAATGACCATAGCAATGAATATTCTGTACGGTTTTGCTTCCGCCTTGCAGAATTGCCAGTTTCGGAAACTCCGTTCACCTGTGCTTGGGAAAGGGTGCAGCATCTCAGCATCTTGGGTTGCTACATGCCGCCATCAGCCTAAGAATGGCCACCTCCTAAACCCGGCAGCCCCAACACTAGCTACGGCTTGCAACATCGTGCAACTTCTCCCAAGCATCGTCCCACGTAACGCGCAAAGAGGCTGGTGTGGAGCACCGCGCCTTTTGCGCATTAGCAAGACGAGGTCTCGCCTGAAGTGCAGGTAGCTTGATGCCCTGAAAGGCCATTACGCACAAGCGCTCTTCATGTCGTAGTAGATGGCTTTCTGCTGGTCGCTAAAGCGGCGTGAGCAGCGGTCGACGATGAAAGATGCCGGGTGATCACGTGTACTGGTTTGGCTGCCTAGAGCTTCTTCGTATGATTCTGAGGCATGCTGTTTTCCGAATATCTTTGAGCCTTAAATCCTGCACAGTCATTACTCGGCGCAAGCCCGGAATGGGAGCCGCCATGGTTTATCCAAGTCCGCATTTTCATCAATCGTCAACTTCTTCCACCACGTACAACACAGTTCTAGGCAAGCTCTTGGGATATTTCATTGCTGTTTCTAATGCCGCGCCCTTTTTTGGGCTTTAGGCAACCACGTCTAGGTTGTTTTCACCGCGTTGCGTGCCCAGCCCAGAGTCATCCATCTGCTGGTACGGCAACAGGACAATCGCTTCATGTCCAGGTTTTTAGATTTTGGGGGTTCAGCTTTGTGTGGTGCTTTGCTTTGCTCTCACGTAGGCTCCAGGAGCCGAGTGAGAGAAGCTGAAGTGTGGGGGTTTTCAAACCCTAAAAATCCCGAAGACCTAAAAATCCCTAAACCCTAGGAATCCCTAAACCCTAATAATCCCTAAACCCTGCAAAATCCCTAAACCCTAAAAATCCCTAAGCCCTAAAAATCCCTAAACCCTAAAAATCCCTAAGCCCAAAAAACCCCTAAACCCTAAAGGGGGCACTTCATCGCTCCGACCGCGCAAGTTTGGCCCAGTCCTAGCCGCCCGCCCACGCTGCCGCCCATGGCGGCCGTGCAGAGGATCGCGAGAAGCCTCTCCGAAGGCGTGGAGATGAACTTCGAAAGGACAGATGCGGGCGCGTCGCAGACTTATCAGCAGCAGGCTGGATCCATCACGAAAGGGTCTTATGTGATGCTCAAAGGCCATCCCTGCACCTCCGCGCAGTAACGAGTCCTTGTTTTTTTGTTTTATTCTCCTTTTGCCTTTTCTTTGGTGCTTTGGTTCTTTGGTTGGGCCACCCAACGCGGCCCAGTTTGCTTCTCTCTTTTGGGATGAGGGGCTTGGAGTGTAGTTTTGCATTTTATGAAACTCTCAGCCCAATGTATGGTATGTGTTTGGACAGCTACAGCTGTACCAGCTGCGCGACGGTCAGGTAAGATCAAGGAGGTGAACACCTTCAGTCCCGGCAAGCATGGGCACGCCAAGGCGCATCTGGTCGGGCTCGACATCTTTACGGGAAAGAAGTATGAGGAGACCTCACAGACGTCGCACAGCATGGAGGTGCCAGTGGTCACAAAGACGGAGTATCCGCTGATGAATCTGAATGCTGACACTGGTGCTGTCAGTCTGCTTCAAGAGCCTGGGCGCTTTGTTGGCAAGAGTTTTCACATTTCTATTCATATGGGCATCTAAACCCAAACAAGGAACAAGCAACATGGCAGCAGAATAGAATCCCCTTAAAGGGACTCCCCAAAAAGGGTACCCCTATTTTCGGAAGCCCGCGCCAATTGGCCAATTCGTCCTAAACAGTGTGGACCCAGGACAATGGTGAGTTGAAGATCGACCTGAACCTTCCTGGAGCCGGGAAGGCCAATGAAGAGGACACGCTCCAGGCCGATATTCTACGGGCCTTTGGCAACGATTTACTGATCACCGTGGTGGTCATTGCAGCCTGTGGCATGGAGAAGATCGTCAGCTTCACGGCCACGGACTAGGTGAGAGGGGCAGAGAGGCCCTCAACACCTCAACTGAAGCCCCCGCCCAGTTTGAGCGGACGGATGTACAGATGTACAGATGTACAGGTCGGCGCACAAAAGAGATCAGCGAAGAGACAGGTGTCTGCCATTGACGGGATGTATGTACGTATGTATGTATGTATGTATGTATGTATGTATGTATGTATGTATGTATGTATGTATGTATGTATGTATGTATGTATGTATGTATGTATGTACACATAATATGTTCACACGCACACGCACGTGTCGCATTCGTGTCTGGGAGAAGCGGGCCGCGTTTTGACTTTGGGCACCCTAGTACAATGCAGTGTCAGGGAGTTGGGTGGCGTGTGATCTCGGGCGCGCAAGTTGGTCGGAGAGTCAGGAGAAGTGCGTGGCATTTCGACGGTGTTTGCATGGGCTGGCTGAGGGCTCGGGGCTTTCGGGCATTCAAGGCAAGAGCGAGCGCCGGATGATGGTGTAGAGCCAAGGTAAGTGCAGTATGGTGAGGTGTCTGTCGGTTCTCTTGAACAAGAGCGGGTGAGTCAGTGTCCCACAGCTTTAGGGCCATGCGAACCTTTTCCCCCTTTTCACCCTGTACCCCCCTTTACCCCCCTTTACCCCCCACATACCATCCCTCCTGGATCCCTGAGCCATCGGCTCGCTGGAGCTGGTGCACAGGTGCCACGGCGGACTGTTGGGGATTGGTGGTCGCGGGTTTCTTGTTCTGGCTGGGGATGGCCTTGGGGTTTGGCGAGTGGTTCATCCTCCAGTCACGTTGAAATTACGTTGAAATCCCGCAACCCAACCCCTAGAGAGTTGACGCTTGCAGCACAGAAACCCAAGCCTTCATGACCCGCTCCAGCCCTTTGGCTCCAGCGCCGCCGCAACAATCACAGAGCAACAGCCACTGAAATCCTCATTTCGAAACAACTTGTATCTCAAGGTCCTCAGCAAAACCCCGGAATACGTGGTGGTGTAGCGGTCTATGCCCAAACCGCAGTACCAAACACAATGTAATACAACGTAGCACGACCTTTCCGCCATGCCCTGCGTCGTCTGCTGGTTTGACGGCGTGGGCGACCTCAGCGTGTCAGATGTCTTGGCTGTTGTGGCTTTAGAGGCTTTAGAGGCCTTAGAGTTAGAGGCGTCAGAGTTAGAGGCTTTAGAGGTTCTAAAGTCCAGGATGGAGGCCCTGCCAGCGTGAATTGCCCGTGAATCCCGTCATTTTGTTTTGCACCACTGTTTTAATTGCCTCCCAAGGCATGATCGGCATACCCTTGTGCCATGTCCTTCAAGTTTCCCTCGAAGATGGACACCCATCGAGAAGTAGTGCTTCCCGATCTGTCCCAAAAATTATCCCGACAAACTAGCACGTTGAACCGTTGAGGAATTATTTTTAATCAGTTTGGACAACCTTACCTTCTTCCAGGAGTACCACAAGCAGCGTGCTCAGGGACTTGGTGCTTGGATGCCAGGTGTCTAATCTGACGCGCATTGAATCTCCTAGTCAACTGCGCCAGCCTGTCCACGTCTACAATGTTTTGTTTGCACGCATCTGACCGTATTGCGCAGCCGGTGTTGCTCAGGCGGTAATGCCCTGCCCATCCAATGACTTCAGGTTTTGCGCGGTTCGTTGGCTGCAAAGTCTTCCAGGCCAACAGTGTGCCACGTGGAGGGGGTTGTGGTCACAAGCCGATATGGTCAAATACTGCCCTCAATGAAATGGCGTACTTGTCTCTGCCCACTGCAATTACCACGTAAACATAAGGATGGTCTTCAAGAATCCCCCTTACAGAGGCCCTTGTTAAAGAAGGCTTGTTTTGTGACCAGCAGCTGCTTGATGCAGGCGTGAGCTTGAGGGGCCATGCTCGAGTGAAGGCTACCAGGGTGAGAATGTTGGAGACTCGCCAATGATAACACTAATGTTATGCCAGCTTGGAGCCTCTTCTGGAATGTCGCAGGCGATGGATTTGTCCTGTGCTGGCATTGGGCGAGTGGCGCTTTGAGGACCTGGAGGCTTTCGCTTGGGATAGAAGGAGCCCCTCCAGTAACCCATGCAAGCCGGTGTGCCTGGCACCCATGTAAACAACAGGAGTACGTATTCTTGCCGGCAGCTTTCATGGTCAGCACAGGAGATCCACGCGCGTCTTGCTTTTTGATCCTTTCACCACCATCCAGTCTTGCTATGGGACATGTGAGATGATGCGAGGCCTGTTTCTTGAGAGACAAGAGTCGGCCATGGCCCCAGCCTGCTCTCACAGGGTTGACGAAATTTGCAAGACCTGGCATTGGCTCGACCATCTGCAAGGTGAGACTTGACAACGGCGTCATCTGCCGGCTGCAGGCCGCCCCGCCCCCCCCGCTCTTGCAAGTGGCTAAGTTCTTATATATATGTATATATATATATGTATATATATATATATGTATATATATATATATGTATATATATATGTATATATATATATATATGCATATATATATATATATAAGATACATATGCACAATATGAAAGATTAAATAATCTAATATGTTTATATAGTATTGGTGGAATGCAAAAATAAATATGAACAAAACCACACGCACATATATGTATATATTTATATATATATATATATATGTCATATTCTCAACAATATCACCTGATATATGTATGATATGATATAAGATAAAATGATAATGTATACTTCGTAGAATGTAATACAACATAAGTGTTTTTTGGCGCTGACGGGTTCCCAGGGCGAGGGCCTCTGAGTGAAATGTTCGCCCGTTCGCGCAGCGACAATAAAAGCAGATCTGAACATTTCAGATCTGTCGAAGAAGGATCTTGGTATTGCGAAAACTTCGTTTCTGAGAAGTCTTTTTTTATGCTTTTGAAAAGTATATTGGATTATGTTGAGAGTCTTTGAAAATCTTTGAGAAACAAACATGCCTTACATGTTTCGTAAACCCAGAGGTGTGCCTTCAACCTGGAAGTCAAAGGTGCCCGAAGAAGCTCAAAAAGCCCGGGAGGTTTCTCGTGAGCCCCTAAAGGCCGCGCCCCCAGCCCAGGGCTGCACGTCCTAGGGCTTTAAGGTTTAGGGTTCTGGGGTTCTGGGGTTCCAGGGTTCCAGGGTTCCAGGGATGCAGGGTCCAGGGTTCTACACCAAGGAGGGGGCCCTCAGGTCCATTCGCCCGCTAGAGGGTGAGGCGTTGGAATGAACATGTGGGTGGTTGTCAAAAAAATGGTCCCTTTTTGGATCCCTATTATAATACGGCACCTAATATGTAGGGTACCCCCATAATTTTGACAGCCCACGTAAGGGTTTTCGCAAACCCCGGCGTGGCCTCAACCGCAGAAACGAAAGGATTTCTGTCAGCACCTTCAACTTGGCAAGGAACGCTTGCTGTGAGCCTTGTCCTCAACTTCAAAATCAGAAGCTCTTTTGTAAACCCCGGCGTGGCCTCAACCTCAACGAAAGGTTTCTGTAATGCCTAGCGTGCCCTTAACCTCAAAGGCGAAACATTTCTTGAAAGCGTTGGCGTGGCCTCAACCTCAACCTCAAAATCGAGAGGTTTTCTCTACACCCATGCGTGCCTAGGCCTTCAACCTCAAACGAAAGGCTCTCCGTAAGCCCTGGTGTGCGTCCTCAACATCAAAAACGCAAGGTTTTGGTTTTTTAATTGGCCTCATCTTACTGAATTCGGGGTACAAGTCCTGTACCGCCCAAGAGGCTAGCCCGCAAGGAGCCCTTAAACGCCACATTGGTCACTGCGAGGCTGGCATGCACCGAAGCGCCTAGGGCAAGAAAGCTTGCCTCAAGCATCCGCGCAGCGGAACGACTGGTGCCCTGGCGCAGGGTGGGGCGATGGGGGTGCATGGTGCGTGGTTGGGGTTGGGGGTGGGGTGCGGTGGGGTGGAACAGCGCAAGCAGCGCGAACACCGCGAACACCCTTTTGGCGGTGATTTTCTCTTCTAAATTCCGAAAATTGTTGTTGTTAGAAACCGACCCGAGCTCTTCGCCACCTCGGAGCAACTCCGTTTACGAGCTCCCTGCTGGCAGACAGCCTAGGGATATTTCGGAAAAATAGATGTTGTCGTATTGGAATATATAAAGAAATAGAGGTTTGGTATTAAAGTGTTGAGATTTTCGAAAAACTGAGGTTTCAATATCAAAATATAGAGAAAGTAGATTTTTCATATTCAAATATAGAGAAAATATAGGTTTCCGCCACATGAAGTGGCGGACGAACAGATCACTCACAGGCCCTCGCCCTGGGAAGCGTTCGATTCGGACTTGACCATGAGGCATTTCCACAACCTGACTTGCAGCAACTGCAACTCCCGCTAGCACGCTCAACTACAGCGGATGTTTTGCAAAAGCTACCACTTTCGGCGCAACAAAAACTCATTACGAGGAAGCGTCTTTCTCTCTGGACCCTCGCCCCGCTGCCCAGCCCGGAAAGCCCTTCCGCACGTTCTGCTACTCCTGCGGTAGCCCACCTGTTCACGGGAAAACTAAGCAGGCCCTCCCCACCCAAGGCGAGCCAGGTGACAATCAATGCAACCCCGATTCACTGCCACCGACCCGGCTCGCTGCCGGGGTCGGCGTCATGTGCGTACACCCCTGAGAATATGATTCTCTTTCATACGATATATATATATATAGTACATATATACATGCATGTATGTATATATATATATATATATGTATATATGTATATATATATATATATATATATATATACAATATAGTGTGCCAATGAACCCGCCGACCCACGAGTTCACCATCAGCTGCTTTTCTTTCATGAAAATTTATGGCCACGTGACTGCAGCTTGTGTTTGAGAGACATCCAGGCCCATTTCGTTCTCATCCTCTTAAGCCATGGTCGTCAAGATGCGGCAGTCGGACTCATTTGAGAAGCAGCTGCCTGTCCTTTTAGGACGAGGGCCGGCCAATGGTGATGTTGAAGCTGGGAAGACAGGGCAGGAAGGTGTGGAGCCTTGCAAAAGCCAAGCCGCGCGCGGCGGCGAAAGTGTGGAAGCCTTGCGTCTGAAATGCTGCGAGAAGGTCGCTCTAACCTTCGGGGTCATTTTCGCTGTCGCTCAGGGTGTAGCGACGCCCGCAATCGCATTGTTCATGGGGGAGAGCATCACCACCTTGGCGCTTGCAGACCACGCGCAAGAGCTGGATGCGATGACGCCCGAGTTCATCAAGGCGCGCCTCAAGATGAACCCGAAGCTTTAAACCCTAAACCTTAAGCCCGAAACCCTAAACCCTAAACCCGGAACCCCCTCCTTATACAGGATGCTGCATGACATCACGCGTGCGACCTTGCAGTCCCAGCCAGTAAGAGCCCAAACCTTTATTTCGAAAGGTCGTTGAGGCAGTAATGCTATTGACAAAAGGCTCTCCCAAGTTCCAAGAGGAGATGGTTCATCTGGGGCTGGGTCTGAATGTTAAGGGGTCTTCTTCAAGGGTGAGACAGTTGAGAAGTGATCCAAAACCCCAGATAAATCTAAACCAAATGTCCCACCGCACGAAGACCAAGAACTAGACAAAGGACCGTCCCATAAGAGCTGGTACCATTTGGAAATACGGGCTCTTGGAAGGGAAAGCCTTCTTCGTACCAAAGGCTCAGGGATTCATGAAAGGTAAGGGCTTACTGGTGAAGGAATCCAGGTTGAGTGTATGAGCTGGTCTCAACGGTGGGTTCTTGGCACACACGTGCATCCGTTACATACCAACATTCGCGTTTCTCTTTGGAGAGATGATTATGTCGATTATGTCCATGTTGCCCGACCATCCATGTCTTGTCTTGGGGCCTGTACTAGCAGCTTTTTTGGCGTGGAAGCACAACGCATCGTCAGGAACAGGAAGAAAAAGGCTGGTATTTACAGCATTGTTGGCCGCACAACCAAAAAGAGTACACAGAATCGCAAAATGTTGATGTGTGTTTTTTGTACAATCTTACGAAACGCGAAAATGACGAAAACATGAAACTCGAGACCTAAAGCTTTCTTCGAACCCCTGCAATGGGGGGTTATATACCAACAATTTGGTTTGGAAAGGTTGGAAGGGGTTTAGAAAAAAAGGGAATGGTTTGGAAGAGGGAGCTTTGGTTCACGGAACCCCATGCCCCACCTTTGAACCTGTTAGGAGCCCCAGAAGTTGGGAACTCCTCAACTCCTCCGAAACCCTACGCTCAATGGCCCCCTAGAATCCTAGAAGCCTTAGAAGCCCTCAGATTGGCGCTTTGGCAGCTATCCAGTTCTGCCTGGCTTTCGCTTGGCAGACTTGTTTGGCCTGGGCCGCCGCAAAGCAGGCCCTGCGCTGGCATCGCGGTTTCGTGGAATCGCTGCTTTCCTTGAATGTTCCTCGGGCCGGAAAGTGATTTGAGATGGGTGTCCTTTCAAGCGCCTCCCTGCCTCAAAGATGTAGGCTTGGGGTTAGTATATGTCATATGGCCTGTTGCGAATCTGTCTTTGCCCAAAAAGGTCTGCTGGTACGACGAGCATGAGCCCGCAGGAGTGGCCGCCAAGCTGGAGAGCGACTCCGCGAACGTCTACCTGTTCATGTCCTCGGCGCTGGGGTACCTGATCGCCAGCTTCTTGCTGTTTTGGTTAGTAGGGACTGAGGGAGTGAGGCACCCTATAGAATCCCTTAAAGGGTATATGTAGGGAGATAGAGGGTGCCTCATCCCCTCATTCCCTACTAACCAACAGGCTTGGCCCAGTTTGTGACGGGCTTGTCCTTGGCCTTGTATGAGGGCTGGGAGCTGGCACTGGTGGTGTGTGCCGTGATGCCCATCTTGATGTGCGCCGGCCACTACATGGGCAAGGAGATCGAGCACTTCACGGCCCTGCAGCACGCCAACTTTGCCCAGGCCTCCGCGGTCGCGGAAGAGTCCCTGATGGCCATTCGGACCGTCGCGGCCTTCGGAGGGGAGGCCAAGGAGGTCGCGCGCTTCGAGAGGGAGCTGCTCCCAGCCAAGGTGGGTGGCATCCGCTCCGGGACGAAGATCGGGGCCGCCTGGGGAGTCCTCAACTTCTTCTACCCGAGCCTCTACGCGCTGGCGCTCTGGTTCGGCGGCCACGTCCTCATGGCGGAGCACGACGACGGCTTGGAGCCCAGCCGCATCATCACCGTGATGATCTCGATGATGGTGGGCGTCTCGGGGCTCAGCGCCTTCAGCGGCTTCGCCTCGGTCATGGCCAAAGCCGCCGTGTCTGCCCAGGCGATGAAGGAGGTCATGGCCTTGAAGGCGCAGAACGACATCGAGGGGCCCCTCTACGCGCACGCGGAGCTGCCGCCCGAGCTGTGGGAGGTCGACAGCATCGAGTTCCGGAAGGTGAGCTTCAAGTACCCGGGGAGGCAAAGGTGGGTCCTCAACAGCTTGAGCTTCCGGGTGGAGAAGGGCCAGAAGGTGGCGCTTGTGGGGGAAAGTGGGAGTGGCAAGAGCACGACGATCCAGCTCCTCGAGCGCTTCTACGACCCGAGTGCTGGCGAGGTCTTGGTAAATGGAGTCCACTTGTGCCAGGTGCCAACCAAGGCCTGGCGCAAGCTTCTCGGCTATGTCGGGCAGGAGCCCGTCCTTTTTGCCACCACCGCGATGAAGAACCTCAAAGGCTTGGACAACTCCATCTCGGATGAGGAGGCGATCCTTGCTGCGAAGGCTGCGCAAATCTATGACACCTTGAGTGAGCTCCCGGACGGGATGGACACATTTGTGGGCGCAGGAGGTGGCTTGCTGTCAGGAGGGCAAAAGCAGCGGATTGCCATCGCGCGCGCCTTGGCAAAGAATCCCCAAGTCTTGCTCCTGGACGAGGCGACCTCGGCTTTGGACAACGAGTCTGAGCGCCTGGTGCAGGCAACTATCGACTCCGCCCACACCCTCATGGGTCGCAACATCACCACGATTTCTGTTGCCCACAGGTTGACAACGATCATGGGCTCGGACACGATCTACGTGCTCAAGGATGGTTCTTGCTGCGAGCAAGGGAACCACGAGGAGTTGATGGACATGAAGGGCCACTACTACAACATGGCGAAGCTGCAGCAGGACAGCCACGGGGAGGAAGACCAGGACGAGAAAGACACTCCCGACTCTGACTGGAAGTCACGAGACCAGGGGAAGCGACACGGGGAGGAGCAGGATGAGAAGAAAGCAGCGAACGCAGCGGAGTCATGTGAGGCGCACCTGGAGACGCAGATGTCGGACTTGAGCAGCGCGGGACGGAAAGCCGGCACTTCCCAGGTTTGGTGCCGCCTTCTGGGCATGATGGGCGCCTTGGGCTTTCTTTTCGGCGGGTGGTGTGCCGTGTGATGTTGCACTCGGTTTTGTGTCAGGGGGTCCCCCCCCCCGCTCGCCCCCCCATTTTGTCAAAAACACCAAGTTATGTGATGTGACTTTCTCTTGAGAACTACTGGGTGGGACACTAAAGCAAATCCTGCTGGTGGGACACGAAAGCAAATCCTACTTCCCCTTGAGAACTGCTGGGTGGCAAAAGCAAATCCTGCTTCCCCGTGAGAATTGCCATGTGGGACACTAAAGTTTACTACGGCAAATCCTGCTTGGGGTTCGGTATCTTACGATATCAGTGTCTCGTAGGTACGAATTATTACGAGCATTGGGTTCCGCATCGTATGAAATCATATATGAGAAAGGGGGTACGACTTGTTATGGGCTTTGTGTTCTACATCTCATGATATCGCATACGAACCAGAGGATACGATTAGTTGTGGGCATTGTGTTCTGGAGCTTGTGATATCATACGAATGACTGGGTGGCCTGAGCGTGCAAGGAGGGCTCCAGATGCCCTAGAGGCTCAGATCTGGGGGGAGGGGGGGTGAAAGCGGGGAAGGGGGGGCTCCGTATTCATCCCACCGAAACAATTTCCTGCGTTGCTCGGACGGGTAAGCCCCCAAACCACAGTTGGAAGATTCCTTCAAGGGCTACCATGCTGAGTCGGAGGCAACCTTAGTGAACAGAAAGCCAAATTGGCCTCTAAGGTGGGTACTGGTGGATCTGGCCCGTTTCCGGCTTCATCGTCATGGCGGGAGCGGCGGCCATGCCCCTGGAAGCCGTCTTCTTCAACTCCGCCGTGGTGTCGCTCTCCGAAGCCGCGGTGGGCAGCCTCGAGGCGATGTACCCGACGCTCGACAAGGCCGTCTTCGGCCTCGTGATCGTCGGCTTGGGCTCCGGGCTCGCGGTGCTCTGCCAGAACTCCGCCTTCGCCTTCGTGCAGGAGACGGTGTGCCTGATTTTGCGGAAGGCGGCCTTCAGCAGCACCATCCGCATGGAGATGTCCTTCTTCGACGCCCCCGAGAATCACACGGCCAGCATCCTGGTGTCTTTGGAGAGCCACATGAGCCGGGTGGGGCAGATGCTCGGGATCCAGCTCGGAAACTCCGCCGCCGCCCTCTTCACCTGCGTTGTGAGCCTCCTCTTCAGCTTCTACGGCTGCTGGGAGCTCTCCTCGGTCCTCTGCTGCTTGATGCCCATCTTCGGGATCCTGGGCCTCAAGGTGGCCCAGTGCGTGGCGAGGCTGGACCCGGCGCGCCTGGAGCACTACGGGAAAGCGGGGAAGGCCACCTCCGAGGCCCTGACCTCCATCCGCACCGTGAAGGCGTTGAATGCCGAGGAGAAGACCCTGGAGGTCGTCAGTGAAGCCCTGGAGAAGCTCACGGAGCTCAGCTCGCGGAAGTCCTGGAGGCTCGGTTTGTCCCTGGGCCTGAACTTGGGCCTCGTGCAGCTGATCTTCCTGGCAGGCTTCTGGATGAGCGCCGTGTGCATCCAGAACTGGGGCTTCGAGCCCCGCGAGGTGCTCCAGAGGCCGGGGCCCGGCTCAGGGAGGGGGGGTCAATAATGGAATCTGCGTGTATTGCCGTCGTCTGAGGAATGTGCTATGCTAATTGCCTTATCAGAAGAAGCCGTAGCCATATGAGCTCAGTGATGTCGTCGTCTCCTTTCGCGGTAAGCCTTGACATGCCGGACGCGAGTATGCCAGGCCCTTCTCAAGGATTGGGGATTTCTTGTGAGAGCCAGGCATTCAACGACTTGACTGTCAAGACTATGGAACAAGTTGCGAGTGGAGGCTGCGATGCGAACAAGGCAGAGTCCCTGATGCACTCTTTGCAGTCCTTGACCAAGGCACGGGTAGAATCCAAGCAAAACAACACCATCGAGCACAATGCTACAATCATCAAGCAACAGATGAGCACCATTGCTGAGTTAAGCAATGAGATCAACAAGATGCGCTTGCAGAAGCAGAACTTGGAGACAATGCCCCCCGAGCCACTCGAAGACAAGAAGAGGAAGTTACCGGATACCGACAAAGAGAATCAGGTTCCGAAGCCAAAGGCAAGGAAGTTTCCGGAGACCGACAAAGAGAATCAGGATCCGAAGCCGAAGGCAAAGCCAGTCCCAGAAACACATGCATGTCGAACCAGCCGACAACACCACATGCGACGTGGATCCCTTCTCGACAACACGGAGGCCTTCAGCATGATTCGGTCATGTGCCTGGGTGGTATGGTTGGCGAACCAAGTGCTCTCGAAGTCGCTATGGAAGCCGAACACGAAGTACGGGAGGCCGACATGGTTGGACAACCCCAGCGGTCTATCGGCCAAGCGGACCTCCATGACAGAGAAAATCTGCAAGCTCGAGATGCAATTGCGGAGGTTTCATGCTCCACTGACGAGCACGGGCATGCATACTCTATGTCTCAATGCCCTGGATTCGGAAGCCCAAGCAGTGCTCGAGAAATCGCTGTACTTCATGGTCCACCTGCTGAAAGCTGTGGATGCTGACGGGGTCGCCTACTACAAGGTCGGCCGCACTCGTTCCACATGCATGGGTCAACGCTTGTGTCGGTATCAGGTGGAAATGTTAGCTGTGGAGCCACGTCTTTCCCTCGTCGAGGTCCTGGAGATCCATTTGCTCTCCTCGGAGTTCTACGCCAAGCGTTTCGAGGGCAGGGTACATCGCCTCATGCTCTGCAACGAGCCTGAGCTGCTCTTAGGAGCACGCCAGAAGACACGGGAGATTTATTGCGCTGCCGCCCTGCCGCACCTTATCGGTCTGTTCGCAGAGACGGCTGCGATGTCCAAGAACGATTTCATGAATGAGATGTCAGCGGGAGCACTTAAAACAAGTGTCTTCTCCAACGCTGCGGAGGCCATCCCGGACACTACGGATGATGACTTGACTGAAGCTGAGTAGGCATGTCGTCGTGTACAGAACGCAGTCCGAGTGCTCCAAGCGTGCAATCAACAAGCCTTAGAAGAGAAGTCAGAAAGAGGCGCTGCAGCTGCAGTGTTTTGGTGCGGCTTTCTGTGCGGTTGCGTGCTTGAAGCGTTCCCCCGCCCTCTCTTGCTTGTTTAGCCTCTTCTGCGTGGTCTTCGCCGTGCAGTCGGTCACCGCGATTGTGCAGCACATCCCCGATGCCGCCTCCGGGCAGGTGGCGGCCAAGGAGGTCTTCCGCCTCATCGACCAGTCTTCCAAGGTGGATGCCACGCAGGTTACGGGAAAAGTCGAGAGCCTCGGGGATGGGGCCATCGAGTTCCGGGGCGTGCGCTTCTGGTACCCGCACCGCCCAGAGGCCGGGCGCTCGGGTGGAGTGAAGGGCTCTCCGTATCCACAAGTGCATCTTAAGTAAAGCTTGCCCCAGCCCTTTCCAGTGAACATGTTGTGGCATTGCCTTCCGGAAAGCTTTGCATCAAAAGCCTCTGAACTGCACCGTGAGATAGTCCTTCATAGGGATTATATCGTACACCCCCGACTATAAATCCAATGAAGGACTGCTAGTACAAGGGGGGAACATTCCAACTCTTTAGGGGGCCTCGGGGCTTGAACATGTGTGTCCAGACACCCCTTAGAAGCCCTTAAAGCCTGAGAGGGCTCTTAAGAGGCAGGGCCTCGCAGAGGCTTCTCTGAGGCCTGAAACATTCGGCTGCTGCCTTTTTTTGGACAGCTGTCTCCCCCAAGGAAAACAAAAAAAGGTAAGCGTTAGACATGACTGGCGAGTAGCAAAACTCAGCGAGGCGAACAAGCCGCTGGAAAAGTCGAGATTTACCGCGTGGAACTTGCCAAAGCGGGGTGGAGCACTGGGCATCGCAAGCTCTCACAGATGTTCAGGCACTCGGTGCCCAGAGTATGCAATGGGAGAGACACTGAAGCCAGAAAGACAGATACAATCATGCAGCGCAATGAACACGGGACTTGGGGGAAAGCAGTCGAGCCGAACCTGAGAGAATGCCCCCAAGAATGAGTTTGCTGAATCCTTTCTGAGCCGGTATCAACAACATGAGAGGCCCCCGAACAGACGCCGGGAAGCAGAGCACACAGCTGCACAAACCACAGGACCACTGAAGTGCCTGAGCAAAGACGACTCTCAGTAGCAGGGCGATGTCATGCGAAGACACATGCGGAGACTCGTCTCAGCCGAGGTCCGCGTGCTGAGGGCGCTCAACTTCACGATCCAGAAGGGCCAGTCAGTTGCCTTGGTGGGCTCCTCGGGCAGTGGCAAGTCCACGGTGATCCAGCTGCTGCAGCGCTTCTACGACCCCCAGCAAGGCTCCATCCATGTCGGAGGTGCCGACCTGCGGAGCCTGAACGTGGCCTGGTGGCGGCGCCAGGTGGGCATGGTCAGCCAGGAGCCCGTTCTCTTCGACCTGTCCTTGGAGGAGAACGTGAAGTACGGCTGCCCCGAGGCAACGCAGGCCCAGGTGCTGGAAGCCGCCAAAGCCGCCCACATGGACTACGCCCTCACGGGCGCCGTGCAGTGGACGGATCGGGTGGGCCTGCGCGGGGGGAAGCTGTCCGGTGGCCAGAAGCAGCGCTGCGCACTTGCCAGGGCCCTGCTGCGGAAGCCCGAGTGCCTTTGCCATGGAATGTGTAAAGAGAATTGGGGCATTAATAGTATGGGTATTTTCCCCCGCTTCTACCCCAAGTAGCAGTAGCAGAGTAAGGCTCATGCTGCTGGACGAGGCGACCTCGGCTCTGGACTCCGTCTTTGAGCAGCTTGTGCAGCAGGCCATGCAAGAGGCCAGGGTGGGCAAGACTACGATCACGGTGGCGCATCGCCTTTCCACGATCCGGAACTCCGACAAGATCTTCGTGCTGTCCGGCGGCCGGCTCGTCGAATCGGGCACCTACGACGAGCTGTTGAGCCTGGACGGCCACTTCGTGAAAATGGTTGCAATGGCCGCCTAAGGGCCTGCCCCACACACAAAATACATAATAGACATGGCTCATGACTCAATTCCACTTGGCAACCTCTTCCTGACTCAGACCTCGAGGCCTTGGAGAGGCTGTGTAGTCGAGGTTTGCAGAGATGCTTGGAGAAGCTCCAAGTGACAAGTTCTTCCGGCTAAGTCCGGGCAGGTACAGCAAGTTTTGTTCACTCCGGCTAAGTCCGGTTTGAGACCGTGGCCCTGCTTCAGGGCTCGTGCGCTTCGGCGGGTGAAGCTTGTGGTGCTGCACGTTCAGCTCCGGCAAAGACACCCTGCTGACGCCGTTTAATGCAGAATTCGCGTTGCAGTTTTTGGGAATTCACCTGGATAGGGCCAAAGACACCTTGCAGGCTCCAGGCTTGTCGCAAGACCAGCTTCCTGGGCCACGAAGGCTTCATGGGAGAAGGCTGTCTTGAGAGCCCATTGCATAGTGGCCCTTCCGCAGAAAGGTTATGCCCCTGGGACAGCATAGAGTCCAAACTCGGAGCTAGCAGTACATAGCTCGGCCGTGACGGCCAGACCCAAGGTGTGATGCAAGCGCCGCATCGGGAAAAGAGAGATGCGATGACTCGCTGGCCGTGACGATAGCAAGACTCCACAGCGAGACCAGACCAGCCTGACCCCTAGCCTTTCGCAACAGGCTGAGGGCGCCATTGCCGCGGTGGGCGTTGTGGGTGCAGTGGCTGCCGCATTGGGAGGCAGGAAGGGGGCTTGTCCTGATTCTGATGTTGGTCCTCTGAGCAAACTAGCCTAAGGGTTTCAGGGCGTGATCCAGCTACTGCGGCTTGGGGTCACGAAGCCTACAAGGGGTTCAAGGTTCAGGGTGGGCACAAACGGTTCAGGGTTGAGAGTGTAGGGTTTAGAGGTCAGCGGGGCGCGCCAAGTGCTGAAACCTCTATACCGGCTACAGCCGCTCTCCAAGCGTGAAACCTTTACCGGGCAGCCCTTATGCTTCGATCCTTTACATGGACTGGCAGCCCTACAAAAGGACGTAGACCGAAGCCATTATCAAATAATTGCCAGAGGGAAGCAGTGTGTTTCATTTGGGTTCTTTTTGTCTGTTACGGAGCGTGGTGGGCAGGCGCACGACGGGTCACGCACCGAATTGGCGAAGTTCAGTTTCACACAGTTCTGCAATCCTCCCCCAAAAGAGTTCGTAGAAGTTTGTTGGATTTGGGGCGCTGATCTGTCCAGGACCACATCACGAGAGCCCATAGTGGAGGCAGGGGGAGGGGGGGGGTTTGTGGGTTCACAACATGCATGTAAGGTTCGGCCGCTGACTCCTGAACAAAGATTGTATAAACGCATGGAACATGGACAGTTTTTGTTCACAAAAGCTACATCGGTGTTAAATCAAACAATATCAAGTTTGATAACTTGCTATGAACATTATAAACATTTAGACCCCCTAAGTTTTCCCTGCCGTGCTAACGCTCTTGTGTTGGGCCCCAGAGGCACGCAGACCAAGCATCCCTCAAAGCTCTCAAGGAACCAGAAAATTCGGAGGTGAGAACTTCGCGAGAGCAGAGGAATCCATCCGAGATCGAACGCAAAGTTGAATCCCCTTGGGACCGCGAGGGTGAAGACGCCTCTCCTTCCCCTTGCCCAATCCATGCCTTAAACCCCCAAACCCTAAACACCCTATGCATCCCTACGTCCTAACTGGCTCGGGCCTCGGATTCTCGTCGTCAGCCTGCTCCCATCTGCGCCCAGTGGCTCGCAAGGCTTCAGCAAGGCGCAAGAATCCGGAGACCTCACAAGCCGGGCGCTCAGAAGAAAGGTTGTAGCGAGGGCTCTGGGTTTAAGAGGGTTCTCCTCGTCTCCAGCCCTGTAGTTGAAGCCCCCTGATTTAGGTCTCTTATGCAGTGCCTCTACGATTTTTTCAGGGACAAGCATCCCGTGTTCTTTGTTTGGGGGGGTCTTGAATCGAGCTACTAAACCTGACAAACCCCACCAAAACCTGACGAAAACCCACTAAAACCTAACAGCGAAAAGCAGCGTGTGGATCGCACCAAGTTTTGTCCCCCGTTAGAAGACACGATGGACAAAATCTCGTGCGATCTGCGCGCCTAGCTTTTTTAGGTATCGAAAAAAGCGGCGTAGATCGCGCCAAGTTCTGTCCATTGTTTTTTTTGGAACAACCACGATGGACAAGACCTGGTGCGATCTACATGCCTGGCTTGTTGTAGATAACGACAAGCGTGTGGATCGCGCCAAGTTTCGTCCATGGTTAAAAGAACCACAACACCCGACAATCGAACTCTACAGCCTTCACTCACTCAAACTTCAGACCGTTCAGTCTTAGTCGGGTTTAAGGCTTCCACAGCATTCCCTATGTTTTCCCTTTTTGGGGAGGTTTCCCTACGTCTTCCCTACATTTTCCCTATGTCTTCCCTACGTTGTCCCTATGCTTTCCCTATTTCTCCCATGTTTTCCCTGTGTTTTCCCGTTTTTCGGCCGTGCCCTCCCCTGTGTTTTCCAGTTTTTCGGTCGTGTCCCCTGTGCCCTCGAGGAAAATAAGCGCCCAGACCAGTCCACGATATAGCATATAGAATATCATAATGAATATATAGATATCAATAGTATTAGCAATCTTCTTCTTCTTCTTCTTATTCTTATTCTTATTCCCCACCTTCGGTGTGGGGTTGTTAGAATTTAAGCTCAACTCTTCTCCTGGAACTCTTCTCCTCGCCTGGTCTACTCCTAGAGACTCCCTGGAGTGCCCAACCGCAGAGACTCCCTCGAATGCCCAACCCCAGAAACTCCCTGGAGTGCCCAACCGCAGAGACTCCCTGGAGTGCCCAACCCCAGCGACTCCCTGAAATGCCCAACCCCAGAAACTTCTTGGAGTGCCTGGAGTGCCCAACGCCAGAGACCCTGGAGTGCCCAACTGGAGTGCCAAACCCCAGAGTGCCCAACCCCAGAGTGCCCAACCCCAGAGACTCCCTGGAGTGCCGACTGCCTGGAGTGCCCACATGCAGAGACTGCCTGAAATGCCCGACCCCAGAAACTTCTTGGAGTGCCCAGAGACTTCTTGGAGTGCCCAACCCCAGAGACCCTGGAGTGCCCTGGAGTGCCCAACCCCGGAGACCCTGCAGTGCCCACACAATCCAAACCCCTAAGGTGGGGATGTTCGAAGTAAAATAATTCTTATTCTTGTTCTTGTTCTTGTTCTTGTTATAGTTGTTCTTATTCGTATTATATATTATATAGTAAAGAACAAGAAATAAATTTCAAAAGTGTACATGTGTAATACATAATATAGAAGAAAGAATATAGACTATAGAATGTAGAATAAAGTACAGAATATAGAACATAATGTTCAATGGCAATTTCCCCACGAAGGCGTGGGTTTCCCTCGGTTATTCCGACGGGCTTTTAAGGAATGTTGAGTGGGCCTTTGTCGCCGTTGCAGTGAGCATCGGTCAAACTGACCCGCCCAACTTCAGCGCAAGCGTGGTTAAGAGTGTCATGGAATGGACTGGGACATGCATTTGCCACATCGTGCATGACGGTGCAATGTTTTACTTGGGCTTGCTGCAGTTTCCAGCACAAAAGTTTTTGAGTGGCGTTCACGACAGTACCCGCATGTTTAGTCAAAGCTTAGTCACTACCTGTATTCCGAACCGCTTTGTAAAAGAGCTTGGCGAACGAGTCAGCGACCATACAACCGGATACCAGCACATTCTGATTTTTGCTTACGCTTTTCGAACTTGTGTCCCATACCCAGTGAAGTATTTGTGGAGTCTGTCTCATAGTGCCATGCGGTCATGCAAGCACCTTGCCCGCCACTTGGGCATTGTCCAGGCTCAGCTGGGACTGACCATTGGTTCTGCAATTTCGCAGTTGACAGCGCGTCGTGTTGTATGCCCGTGTGGATTGCCCAAGGCCGCTAAGTGCATTCGCGTAGTTCATACCGCAATAGACCTGACCCCAGAGGCCCCGGATGCAGGACACCAAAATGAAATGCCCGACGTATCCCAACACGCTCAGCTTTTGACCAAGACTCGGGCCAAAGGTTGCTGAAAGCCCCAAAGTTTTTGAGCGCCCCAACATGTTCAACAACCCCACACTGAGGAACAATCCCACACTGAGAGTCGAGAAAAAGTGAATCGAAGAATTCATGAACACAGGCTTCAACACGCCGGGCAGCCGCTGCCATTTCGAGCGACGAAAAATGCATTTGGCGTGCCCCGGGATGCATGTGGGATCGTGATTGGTCGCAAAACACCAATCTATTTCTGTCTTTTGGGTTTTGGTTTTGATCTGTTTACACGCTGCAACGAAGCATAGACAAGCCAAGTGACGTGGACGACCGGGCGATGTGCGAATGCAACGGGCGGAAAGTGCATTCGCGCTTTGGTTTCCTGTGTCCAGGGCCTCTATGTTTTCGGCGCGGGTTCAGGTCAATTGTGGTTTGGCAAAGAGGCAGCTGCGCGAATGCATTTAGCCGGCGGAAAAATGTTGTTGAATTGCTGCGAAACGTCGCAAATGCTGCTAGACGTCTTGGGGCTCTTATAGCTCTTCCTTCTGACGCAAACAAACGGAAAGAGAAATCGAACATAGCCAACGCCAATCTAAATCCATGACTATTTTGAGATTTGTTTTGATCTGCTCACACGCTGTAACCGTAGCGAAACACAGACAGCCCAATACACATGGGCGACCGGAGGCTGCGCGAATCTCTTTTCGCGGCTGAAGACTGCGTTTGGTCTTGCTTTGATCTCGCTGTCCACACTTGCACTGACACTGATGCTGAATTCTCTCCTTCTGCGTTTTCCGAAAGGAAGAACGCTGAATGCAAGTAGGCGCGGCTGAAGAACGCATTTGCTTTTGGCTTGCTGCGCTTGTGTTGTGGCTTCAAGGCTTCGAGCACTGTCTCCCTCGCTGCCTCTCTCACCTCCACTCCCTCTCCTCCCTCCCACACCGTCCAACGAAGCAGGCCAGTGCTGGTCATGAGAGTGCAGCTCAGTACATCGG